TCATCTATTACTTTGGTTCACCTTTATTTTGTCCCACATAAAAGCCATTCTAATGAAGTATAATCCAACTAAAACTGATTTAACATCATAGCCCGAAATTTATTGGGTATCAAAATCCAACAGACTAGGCAGCAATAAATATTTCCCATTGCCAAATTTCGTTGACCAATCCAGTGAATGGATGAACTCGTCCAACCTGACTGAATTTCTATAAATATAACAAATCAGTTGGCGGATGAACATCCTAAATACTATGGAGTTTGAACAGGAAGAAGCACTAGAGCCAATGAGTCCTAGTGCTCAATTTCTGAAGAGCTCAGCATTGTCACTTGCTATTTTAGGTGTTATGGAACTAGAAGCTCCAATTGATGAATATATTGCAATGACACTCCTCAGAGATTTATTCATACCCATAAATCATCGCTTTTCCTCAATCATGGTGAGTTGTTTGATGTTCATCCTTTTGTTTTTAAGGGTGAGGCACGACCGTGGTCAAATAGTGTTGCATGTTACTAGTTTTCGGGAAAAAACTTGAATGGTTCATTATAGTCGTGTCACTTATAGGTTTATTTATAGTATAGGACTCCTTGCTTTCTTTTATCCAAAAACTAGTTATCAAACATGTAGAGACTATAATACTTTAACTAGGTGTATGCAAAAAGGTAAGATAATAATCAAGAAGTGATTTTTTTGGACTTCAAGCAGGTTTCCAAGAAGGGAGGAGCAAAGAAATGGAAAAGGGTGGAGGTAAATCTAAATGATCATGTTAATATACCATTTCTTCCCAGTGGCTTGTCAACTGATTATTATGATGAATGTTTTGATGAGTATTTATCGAAACTAGCACGGCAGCAACTTCCAGAAAATCGACCTCTGTGGGAAGTTCTCATATTTAACTACCCAACAAAGAATGCAGCTGGGAATGTGATATTCAAGCTTCACCATTCACTTGGAGATGGCTATTCTATAATGGGAGCGCTTCTGTCTTGTCTACAAAGACTTGACAACCCTTCTATGCCATTAACGTTCCCATCGCGCCAGTCTAACTCAAAGCCTTATCGTCACAGCCCTGGTTTTCTTAGGCTCATGAATCGATATTTTTCAGGGTTGATTAACACTGCATATGATTTCGGATGTAGTCTCTTGAAGAGCACTTTGATTGAAGACGATAAATCATCAATTAGATCCGGGCATGGAGTTGAGAGTGGACCATTCGCTATAACTACAACTGCATTTTCCATTGAACACATTAAGCAAATAAAGACCAAACTTCAAGTGGTAAATTCTTGGGGCTTCCTTTTCTTTCTTGTTTTCTTATTGATTGACATTTTCTCATTGTTTATGCTCGTGTAAGTTCATACGTTTAAGTATTGCATTTCGTTCACAGACGCTTAATGACGTGATTACTGGGGTAATCATGTTTGGAACCCGATTATACATGCAAAGAGAGAATCAAGATTCCAGTAAAACTAACTGTACAGCACTTGTACTACTCAACACTAGGGCCATTGGAGGCTACAAGTCAGTAAGTGAGATGATCAAACCTAATGCAGAAATGCCATGGGGTAATCGTTTTGCATTCTTGCACGTTTCTATTCCTGAATTGACTGCCTCTGAGTTAAACAATCCACTCAAATTTGTTTACAATGCCCGGCAATTAATCAAGAGGCAAAGAAATTCTGCATCAGTTTATCTAACGGGTCAGTTTCTTGAAGCCATCACAAAATTTAGAGGTCCTGAGGTATGTATATTGATTTTCCATGTAACAAAGCTTATTTTCATCTCATATTTTGCCAGTGTTTGCAAGTTCACTTTTGGGTTCTTCTCTAGTTTTGTACGAAAAATAGTTGTAGGTCACTAACTTTTCAAGAATTAATCGCGAACGGAGTCCTGAGTAAGACAACTGTTTTGATCTATTTTTATTTGCTTTCTGTTTTATGTACTTATTTTCTTCACTAATTTGATGTTCAATAGTGCTTGGACATAAATATCATCACCTATTTTAAGTATGTGAGACCAAGGTTGCAGCTTATCAAGGTTTTTTTTTAACAATTTTCATTAGAATAATGCTATTTATGAGCAATGCTTATTCATAAGTGATGTGGCAATAAACCAAAAACTAATATAAAATATTTTACACTCAACCTGCCGAAAATCTTTCAAAAAAATTGATCTGTCCTAAATAATTCGGGTTTGATATTTTTTAACAATTTTCATTAGAATATGCTTATTCCTAAGAAGTGATTTGGCAATAATTAATTTGACACCATTGCAATAAACCAAAAACTAATATATTTTACACTCAACCATGTTATAACTCCCTGCCGAAAATCTTTCAAAAAAATTATCTGTCCTAAATAATTAGGGTTTTGATGCAACAGGCAACTGCTCGATACATCTATGGCACATTAAATAATTCAAGCCTGATGATATCAAATATGATTGGGCCGGTGGAACAAATGTCTTTAGCTAGTATCCCAATTAAAGGATTGTACTTTACGGTGCCTGGAGTACCGCAGGTATTCAGTTTTTCCGTAAAATTAGATTCAGTTTCAGCTCTCAGATACAAACTTCTCGATTCTCGAATGAGATTAATTGATAGAGGTTTTATTTTTTATTTTTAATTTCAATGCTGCAATTTTATATATCTACATTGAATTAATTGGTTCTTCATAACATGTTGTGCATGCTGAATTATGCAGAGTCTTCAAGTAACAATGGTGAGTTATGCGGAAAAGCTGAGAATTGGCATGTCAGTGGAGAAAGGTTTCATTGATCCGAACAAGTTCAAGTCATGCATTGAATATGCCTTTGAGGCAATTTCCAAAGCAGCACTAGAGTGACGCTCAAACTTTATTCTAGTTCTAAAGTTCATTAATTTCTGCTTTGTTTTAAGTCATTTAAAGTTTGGACGTCGTTTATTAATACTTCGATTAATTTACTAAATAGTTTAAGGTTGTATCTTATGAATGAATCGTTTTTAGTATTTGTTTGATGAGAAATGAATTTCGGTTTTATCCACTTACTCCATGTCCTCCATCGAAATAATAAAGGAATTTATTCTATTGTTTACGAACTTGGAAAAGTCATCTAATCATTTTACAGTCATGTGACTCTTTTTAGTTCAATCCACAACTCCATTAGAGATTCTCTCAAAGATGTGCAAAGTGTGAAATACAACATCGATATTCAGCTCATTGAGCAAGAAGCCATCCATGCCATTGTTGGTGGATTTCAATTGTTGTAAAAATGTGTGTGTATGGGTTGTTTTGGCATAATTTTGAGTGAGATTCGTTCCTTCAATTTGGTAGTTTTGTGTTCTCTTACTTGAGAATATCATTTACTTGTTAAAATTGATGTTCAGATGAATGAGAAATTGGAATTCAAAGTGTACAAATTGGAAAGAATTTATGTGTTGGAGAGAAAACAAGTAAAGTTTGTTTCACGTATGAAAATGATTTAAGGGAAAGATTACTTTATATATGATTACCCTGCGTACATGAATATCGGATTGAACTAACGAAAATTGATCATTTAGAAGGGTCTACGTTTTGCCTTTACTTTCTATATATTTTTCTCCAAATAACCTTCCAAATTCTCTAACTCCAGAGACTCATATGATTTATGTATGTGTTTACAGAGAGATTTAACATCCTGGTTAATAGTGGTGTTAATGGCTGTATCACCTATGACTCCCAGTTTGTTAATTTTCCATTAGAGCTTATTTATACATTTGTTTTTTCCTTTAATCTACACACGAAATTCCATTATTCTTTGTTTGCATACTTAGATTATATTGGTTTCTCGATTGTATCTTGGGGGACAAACATCAATGAAATCTCAATCACTTACGTGAGGGAACGAATCTGCTTTAAGTATACTGTGTAATATGCAGATCTCGATTTACAAATATATTCTCCTTTTAGCAATTATTATTTCCTACTTCTCATTTTGTTCTCTGCAATAATAAAATGCATTGTTCTACAATTTTGTATAAATCAACATCTATAATTATTGTAATAATCTATCATCATCGTCGAAGAAAGAAAGTATAAATTGAATTTGTAACTCCACAATAAGCATGGTAAAGAATTGTATTAATTGTATAGCAAACTATTTTCTAAACTATGCAAGAAATCAAGAATGAAGGACGGCTGTCAATAATGTGAACATAGGCATGCGACTTGATGGTGTAGATTCCGACTATTTGTCTCTTTCCCTATTTTAATGAACAATTAATTTCTGGAACCGACCACCCTTCATTTATCCAAAAGTAGTCAATTGAGTGATCCCCACTCCCAACATCCACCTGCCCCTAGGGGAGCAAAATAATGAGTTCATCTATAAATCAACTTTCATCTTCAATGAGTACAACTATAATTCAAATTTCAACTCTATTGTATATTTAATAGGACAAATTTAAAATAATAGACAAGTGAGATAAAATAAGAAACGAGAAAGCATAAAAGGCGAAAATTTGAAATATGGTGACTCATTCTATGCACATCTAGACGATCGTCTTGATAATGTTTAGTTTTTCTTACGACGTCAGCTAGATATAGACATGTTGTATTGGAGAGTAACTTTTGTAGATATTGTCTATTTTAACTTATGTAGTAACCGTCCCAACCATCCCTCCAGCTGCACGAATTTTCACCAGAACACTGACCAGTCGTGACTGTCACGGAACAGCCCACGAATAGTGGCGATTCCTCCTTCGTCCGACGTACCCATGGTCGCGGACCACATTGGCATTCTTCTTCATCCTCTGGTGCACACGACCATACCATGTGTCAAGATCAATTTCCACCCAAACTCGACGAATTTGTGCTTGAAGTTCGGCGCTGTGCGATAAATTCGAGTCTAAGGAATTTGATGTATCTATGCTGCTCCAAATGCTTAATTTGTTGAGAGGATTTTCAATTGATGATGAAATAACAGTGGATCATCAACCAATTGCTTCAATTGATAACCACATGAAATGGTTCCTTTTCATTGTATAGTTCATGTTAGGATTTGTGGTATGATTTTGGTGGTTCTTGGTGGACAATAACTCAACTCTTGCATAATTGTTTAGAAGATAAGTTTGTGTGATTTATCTTCTTTTGGAACTGAAAGTTGTGGGTTATGATTGTTTGTAAGATTTTGTGAGAAGAAAAGTTGTGAATGAATGGTTTGTCACTTTTTCGATTGGTGTTTTGTCACTTTTTCGAACATTTGTTACTTTTTCTATCACCTTTTTTTATTGTTTGTTAATTTTTAAAAAATTTCTGTCACTTTTTTAGTGACTAATATCACTTTGTAATAAAAGTGACATTGTATTTCACTTCACTTTTTAATGAAAGTGATATTATATATCATTTTTTTAAATTAAAAATTGATATTAAAAGTGACATTACACTTAGAGCTTGTTTGGGAAGAATTAAAATCCAATTAAAATTGAAAATATAGCCGTTATAGGATCCCACTCGTCTAATAAAAGTCAACTCCAACGACTATATTTTCAATTTTAATCTGATTTTAATCACTCCCAAACAAACTCTTAATTTTTTATTAAAAAGTGATACAATTCACTCAAAAAAGTAATCGGGGTTTCGTCACTTTTTTAGTGTTTGTTACTTTTTAAAAAATTTTATCACTTTTTTGAATAACAAACATAAGTTTTGATTGATATTTTATCACTTTTTAAAGTTTGTATCACTTTTTTAGTGTCACTTTTTTTGAGTTTGTGTCACTTTTTCATTTTACAAAATATTTTTTATTTCGTAAAAATATTTTATATAATTTTTCAAAATATCCCTAATTTTAAGTGTATTTTTGTAAGTACCCCTAGTTTAAGAGGGCATTTGGCCTAATTTTCCAAACAAAAAAAAAAAAAAAAGTAGTCCAGCCAAGCCCAGCCCAGCCAACTACTGCCCCAGCTCATCCATTGTCCAATTACCCAAACTTGTTATATACTTCAAAATTTACATATTTATTTCATGCATATTCATGCTACACAATCTTGTTACCAATTTAGGTATTTTAGTTCATGTATGTTTGACGAGTTCACTTATAATTAAATAAATAAACTTTATAACAATATTTTTATTGATTGAAGTAAAAATAAATAAATAATTTATTTTTGCATTAAGAGAATCTACATGTCTGAATAAGCTTAAAATTAATTAAATTTTTATATATATATTTTTTCATATATTATTTATTCACACTTACAAGTTAAAAAATTACTTATTTGACCATGAAGTAGATGTTATTACTAAAATAAGTAACTTGTTCTATTTTATTTAGTTAATAAAATAAATATTTGTTAAAAACATATTTATTTATAAACTAGTTTACTTATAAGTATATTATTAGTGAGCCAAACATGGACATTTATAAATTAAATTTCAGTCCACCCCGACATCTTTTCTTGGCTCCGCCCGTGGACTCAAAGCTTAATTAGTAAACAAATAAACAATTAATCAACTATATCTCATTCAGAATTAAATAAATGTATACCATATAAAATATGTTCATAATCATTAGATCAGACAAATATAAAATATAGGTTTGGAATAAGCTTCCTATAATTTTGTTTCAGTGGGAGATTCCAGTGCAGCTTTGGAAATGGCCTCGAAGGCATTTTCAATACAAGACTTGAACTTCTCAGGGTCTATGAAACCTTTCTCCACTCCCATGCAAATTCTCAGCTTCCCCACGTAACTCACCATTGTTACTGAAAGGCTCTGCATAGTTCAGCATGCACAACATGTTAAAAGAGGCAAAAATCAAGAGATAAATAAATGAAAGAGAGAATATTAACACTATTTAGTTGGAAATTCTTAGATTTACTTGTAAATTCTTTCTATGTAGTTCTGCGAAATGTTAGAGCTTAAAAGATTAAATTTCATTGTGGCGGCCTGATTATGAAATTATGTGGATCGAGTTTTTAATGGTTTTAGGTGGAGCTCATGTTGAACAAGAAGCTAAATTGGTAGACCAAATTTTAAAGTACCATTTGTGAGTTCTGGACACGTTTGTTAAGAATAACCAGCCATAGTACAAGTCATTTCATTGTTTAGTTAAGGACAATAATGCAATTGTACATGGTTGATGTCCAATTCGTGTACACACAAACATATGCCTGGCTGAGATTGAGGCTTCAGCAATTCTGTCTCCCTAATCACTATGCAATCCCCAATTTATGATGCAAGAGAAAGTGAAGGCTTACCATAAAATCAAGAATAGAATTTCTATTTTTGACCAACATCAAGTCAATTCCAAATCTCTGGACAAGTACCCACCTCGAAAATTTCATTTTCAACTACGTGGATTTTTATCTTAAAAAGTCATCGTTTGATTGTTTTGCCGACAAAAAGCTGTCGAGAGACTTTTCATAGAAAAAATTTCTTTGTTAAAAAATGATTTGTTGCAGTGATAGTTCAAACTTACAGGTCCCACACATCATATGTGAAGAATGAGACAAGCCTTGCGTTCAATGTTGTGTTTGAAAATCACATCAACCTAGCTGGTTTGATTGAAAAAAATTGACACTTTGTTTGAAACCAATCCCTCTTTTGTCTAAAACTCACATCTTAAGATAGAGATAAAAGTTGGTGAACCACCCAACTCGGTAATTAATAAGGGGAAAAAAAATCTCTTAACGAATAAAGATGAAAATTTTAGGGGTTTGAGTTACTCCTCTTAATAAGGTTAACATTTTAAGATGGAATTTCAAGTCTTAATAGTAATCAGATTAAATTGACTGGGATTGTCCGGCTTTTCTTGTTGCATTTTCTTTAAAACTATGCAAGAGTCGAATCAATCACGTGTCATAGTTGAAAACCGGTTTTTTCATTTGTCATGGGAGTATGGGGGAAGGCTACTAAGATTCATACAACAATGGAAAGACATTTGAGGGCATACTTCAATAACTTGGCAGTTAATCTACGTTGGAGTTGGCAAGGCCAAAAGTATAAATTAATAAGCTAACTGAAGTATAAGAAGCTCTTGAAATGGTAAAATAGAGTACCTGAGGTGCCCCAGCCACAGCAAAGTACAATCCTTTAATTGGTCGATTTGCTAAAGCCATTGGTTCTACAGGCCCCATCATATTTGATATTGCCAGGCTCGAATTATGCAATGAGCCATGGATGAATCGGGAAACAGCCTGTTACATAACACCGATATCCACATTATCCTTGCATATTCAGTAAAATGATTTATTTTATTCAGTATTATTATTGAAAAACAAAAATAATAAAATACTTGGTCTGTTGCTACTGCCAAATATGCACTTGGTGCTAATCTTATATACATGAAATGATTTTATGATAATAATTTACTTTGATGAAAATGAATACTAATTTAGCAAAAAAATTATTACTGCAAAAAAAATTGGCAAAATGTACCCATATAGAAAAAAGCGTTCGATATGAAAATCACGAAAAACTAAGAGCATCTCCAATACAATTGTTAATTGTTTAACAAAAATTGCCGCATAGACTTGTTTAAAAATAAATAAATAAATAAAAATTCTTCAAGAAAATAGATAATCTAGACCAAGATTTATATGTATAAGGCTACAATCTCTGTTAAACATGTTGACTCAGCAATTTAATTGATTATTCCTTTGTTTGAGCCCTATTTTTTTTTCTCAAAATGTATTTTGTAATAGTGTTTTGTTGGAGAATGTGTGATTAAAAATAAGGAAAAATTTTGGATTTATGTTTAAAATCATTTTATGTGAGAATACGCGGTTGGAAATGAATTATAAAAAAATAATGACTTTTTGAAAAATGGAAGCCAAATGTAGGCTAGGTTCCTACATTTATTAGATAGCAAAACTCACTGTCTATTCTTAGTGTAAAATAATTATATTTAATAAATCACATACTTCAATACTCTACTTCTTAAATTATTCAAATCATGTTTAAATGGATTAGAAATTGAACAATGTTACGTGTACAGTCATTAGATAGTTTGAAATTAGTGTAAAAATAGAGAGGGTTGCAATTTGAAGTGAGAATGTCATATTTGTCAAAAAAATTCAAAAAAGTGGACACTATTAGTTTACAGCCCCAAAAGTAGCTAGGGAACGAAATTCGTCTCTCTTAAATTATCCATAATTTCCTCTAATTTGTGCTAATAATTTTAGCTCCTATTTGGTCTAGACAAAAATTAAATTTAATAAGCCATTGTTTGATTTTCATTTTTTTCAAAATAAAATTTTCTGTGTATTCTTTTCAACCATATATTTTTCAATAAAATAATATTACACGCAATCCAAAAAATTTTCCTTTATTTTTAACCGCACATTCTCCATCAACCTACTATTTGAAAATGCATTCTACACCAAAAAATTGGGAGGAAACAGGCCCTAAATGTTGCTGAAATACGCAATTGAAAAATTGATATAATTTGTAGATGTTATAAAAAATTTTATTGAAAAAAAATAAATTTTAAGAATTGAAGGTCAATTAAGGGCTTAACATGATATCACAATTGTACAAATGAGGAAAAAAAAAAGAACTTGAGGGGAAATAAGTTTGTGACATTGGACATTAATATGCATACCTCAGGACCTCTAATTTGTCGAATGGTGTCAAGAAAGTGGCCAGTCAGATGAACGGATGCAGAATTTCTTTGCCTTTTGATCAACTGGTGTGCTTCTTTGACAAATTTTATTGGATTGGTTAACTTCTGGGTAGACAATGTGGGAATAACAACCTGTAAGAATGCGAAACGATTACCCCACGGCATTTCTGCATTAGGTTTGATCATCTCATTCACCGACTTATAACCTCCGATAGCTCGAGTGTTCAGTAGTACGAGTGTTGTACATTTGGCTTGACCTGAATCTTCATTCACTCTTTGCATGTATAACCGCGTGCCAAATATGACTATCCCAGTAATCACGTCATTAATTGTCTGTAAAAGAAATGCAAGCATTAAAAGGATCTCAAGTATTTGACGATTCATGATGATTCTTTGGTAAGCGGAGTGGGAGAGTTGCTTGTATATGAAAAATGATACTTGTACACCTCGAGGTGTACACCCCACTCACATGGAGGGGGGCCACGCACTTCATGAGAGGGGGATGTACACCCCTATGTACATGTAGCATCTTCCTTGTATATAGAAATAGGCAATGGCAGCCCTAACTCTCCAAACTTTAACTCTGATAGACTGACTCGTGTAGGACTTATTATAGGCACATGTTAGTCTCATAACTTTTTCGGTAATCTGGACATTAGCATTTGACAGATTTAAAAAAGAAAAATTAACTTAAAAATTAACATTATCCGGCCCATTCTCTAGTACGTGCACAATTTATGAAATTGCAGTACGTATGTACGTGTATGGATGGACATGCATCAAGTATAATCTAGAGCATGATCTTTTCTTGATTAAAGCATAAGACAATTCAATGACAAGAAGAAGAAAACAAGGAAACAAAAGTCATTAGATTTTACCACTTTAAGCCTGTCCTTGATTTGCTTGAGGTGATCCATGGAAAAAGTAGTAGTAGTTAAAACAATGGGTCGAAACTCCACTCCATCTTCACCTGATCTAATAGGTGATTTATCATCTTTGATCAAACTGCTCTTCAACAGATTCAATCCGAAATCGTATGCTGTGTTAATCAATCCTGAAAAGAACTGGGACATGGGCTTGAAAAAGTCGTGGCTGTTTCGACTAGGCCTCGAGTTAGGCTGGCGTGAAGGGAATGTTAATGGCATAGAAGGATTGTCAAGTCTTTGTAGACAGGAGAGAAGGGCTCCCATTAAAGAATAGCCATCTCCAAGTGAATGGTGAAGTTTGAATATCAAATTCTCAGCTGCATTTCTTGTTGGGTATTTAACTATGTGAATTTCCCACAGAGGTCTATTTTCCGGAAATTGTTCCATTGTAAGTTTTGATAAATATTCATTGAAAACCTCATCATAATAGTCTGTTGACATACCACTTGGAAAAACAGGCACATGTACATGATCTTTCGGATTTACCTCCACCCTCTTCCATTTCTTTGTTCCTTTCGACGAAACCTGCTTGAACAAAATCACTTTTTGTCTATATCATATCCCATTTGATTTAGCTAAAAATTTAGATTAGAGCCAAGAATTAATTTTAACCGCGCAACTTGGGCGACTCATAAATTTTATCGACTTTTCAATGACACGATTCATTAATTTTATCAAAATATACTAAAAATTTTAGTAAAACCAAATAGGTGCTGTATCACTTTTTGTGGCACCTACATACAAAACCTCTATTATATTTGCACGCTTGTAAGAACGATTAAATAATACTCAACAGTATTAAAGGAACAAAAATATATTGAAATTTTGTTTATTATAGTTTGTGCAGACATGTGTTATATGTTTTTCATGACTACTGGTTGGATGAAAGATAAAATGCACTTTTACATAAATTGTCACGCGCATGCACTATATACACTTAACTACAAACATAGGTTGTAACATGCATTGTTCATGACTACTGGTTGGATGAAAGATAAAATGCACTTTTACATACATTGTCACATACATGCACTATATACACTAGACTACAATCATAGGTTGTAACATGCATGGAACCCTAGTCGAAGTCGACCAGGGTCGTGGCTTGATCAAGATCATAAAACTCACCATGATTGAAGAGAAGCGATGATTTATGGGTAAGAATACATCTTTGACGAGTGTCATGATAGTATAAACGTCAATTGGAGCTTCTAATTCCAAAACGCTTAAAATAGTGAACGATAACACTGAGTTCTTCAAATATTGGGCACTAGGACTCACTGGCTCAAATGCTTCATCTTGCTCAATCTCCATAGTGTTCTTGATTTTCATCCTTCAATTTTTGATATTGTTGTTCAGTCATTAATAAATAGAGTAGCTTCTGAGTTTGACAAAACGTGTAATTAAATTTTGCATATACAAGTGCAAAGTACTACATTTACTCCACTGATTCCTGCAATCAATTGGGGGACAGCTATTCTTGAAAGTCTATATCTTACATAAATGAACAATTGAAAAAATGTAAAAAGTAGAAATTAAAATTTAAAATAAATCCCCATTTATGCTTTAAGAAATTCAAACGCCCGATCTAGAGTCTTATTGGTGTATACTATTGTATATTTCAAAAATGAGCATCTGCGTTGAAGAATTTTAGGTATATAAAAGGATTTGTTTAATATGAATTATATTTGTTTCCCTATATATCTTGGGTTGATCACGAAACCTATTTAAAAACATTAAGGGATTGTTCTCTTTATATTTCAGTTTTGTATTTTGAGTTTTAAATTCATTTTGGGTTTTGTGTTTTGAGTGTCCATTTTGAGATTGTTGAAAATGTATTTTTTTGACATTTTGAAAAATTGTTATAAAAACACTCAAACGTGTTTTAAAAATTTTGGCTTGATTATAACTGAAAACACTCAAAACGATAAATTTATGGTTTTGAGTTTTCTTTGTAAATTTTTAACTTGTTTCCAAAAACGCGTTTTCAAAAATAGGAAAGAAGGCGCGTTTTCACTATTTTGGAAAATCGAACACAGAAAACGACTTGAAAATGGTAAACAGATGCTAAGAATTTCAGCCAAATTGAGTAGTGATAAAAGGTTCATGGAAGCAACTGCAAATTTATTGGTGACAAATGATGGTTTATGGTTGAAGAAAAATTCAAATTGTAGTGAGAAAATTAAGCATTTTAGAACATTGATCATATTAAAAAATAATTAAACATTTACTTTTCTGAATCTCATCGAGTAATGTCACCAAGAATGACGATCAAAAGGAAAAAAAGACATCCATTTGGACCATGATTTGATCCCTCTACAATATTGTCAAACAAAGCTAACCCGTGCTCTACTTTACCATCGGAACCTGCAATAAAGCGACAAAAGTCACAACTAACTTTTTCAATAACCATTTTGATAGAATAATGCTACTCATCCCCACTGATGTTGAGCCACAGTTTATGTGGCAATTACATGACATTAAATAATAGGCTTCATTAAATGAGTTATTTGACTTTTTATTTAAATAAATTTATTATTTAATGCCATGTAATTATCAGTTTGCCACACAGAATGGAGTTCAACCCCAATGGAGATGAATAACATTACTCATTTTGATATCTCGCAAGACATTGCATTTGACGCGTATGAAAATTCAGCTTGGGAACTCTGAAAAACTTGGAGAGAGTCACATTCAACAACTCGAACTTCCAGGGGCCTCCACATCGTCTGCAAGAAACCGCCCCCACTGATCTCTTCATCTGTGCCGCCACCATTGTCTCTGTCTGATCACAAATCACAGCCCATGCCCCTATCCAACCCACACCTGTCCCAACAGCTGCATTAGTGTTAATTTTAGGCTGTCCCCATCTGCGAGGAGCGTATCTTGTGATATCAGTCCGCACCATTATTATTCTTACATATTTATGACAAATTTTAATGTCAAGTCCTAAAACCTATAACATTAATGTTTGTTTTTAAAATTTATGGATAACAAAGGTCGGTTTATGGTTGAACTAAAATTTAATTTGAAGGAGAAAATTGTAAGCATTTTAGAACATAAAATTTATCGGGTTTTTTTTTCATTATAGTTTCAGAAAATGATAAGAAATAATTCAAATATAGTTAAACAATTACCATATATCTTGCTTGATTTGTAAATTTGTGAGAAGTGAATGAATTATGGAATTCTGGAAAAATTTTGAAATAGCATCTTTGAAGTAGAAGATGAATATTGATGGAGTCACGCTCGATCTAATTTGCACTATGAATACGTAGTAGGATCACAAATTTATTGGCAACCAATATTGGTTGGTTGTTGACCCAAATGCATGTTCTGTTTGAAATTTAAACATTGATCCTTAATAAAGAAAACATTATATTTATGTTAAGTTATTCAATGTCAAATCAACAAGAGAATAAAAGTTGAAGCGTACCTTGATCCATTGGGAACGGAAATGGTTGCGGATTCTTGATCTTCTTCTACAATACTATTTCTCCCAGAGAGAAGTCTCGGTATTGTTTCTGATAATGGGATGGCCAAGGGAATGAGAACACACGTATGAACTGATGACCATAACCTTAATATATATTTTCATATATATGTATTTTGATGCATCATAAAATAAAACAAAAGAAAGCAAGTCTCTACATATAATTAGATCCCTACTATATTAGATGCCTAAAGTCCCAATAACATTAACGATCATTTTAAATAGGTTTAACCTTAAAATAACCTTTAATATACACTTATTTACATATGCAGACCCATGTGCCAAATTATTTTTCAACATGTTCTTGATGTAGGCTTCCCATCTATTTATCTTAAATCACTGTCAATGTGACGTAATATGAATTATTTATAAATTTCTTTGGGACTGATTTTCTCAGGCAACATATAATTGACAAATCCTCGGTGTATGGCAATGGACTGATTTTCTCAGGCAACAGATAATTGATAAATCCTCAGTGTATGGCAAGAGTGTCCCTTTTAAAGATGTAGTTGGAAACCTAAAGAAGGTGGTTGGTAAATATTTGTAGGACAGCTTTCTGTATTGAAATAAATGTTATCTATTCATCAAGGAGTTATACTACACAAACAAGTTCAATGGCAGATTAAAAAATAAGACGACACGTATCGACGCATGATTT